GTGGCCCTGGGCAGGCTGGGGGAGGTGGGAACGCGGGCAGCGGCCATTGGCGGCCAGCGGCCAGAGTCCTCCCCTGGGTGGGCTGGCTGCATGTGCAGTGGTGGGCCAGCCACACGCTGAGCTCTGGACAAAGCTCACGGAGTTGGGGGACGTGGAGTGCAGGGTCTTGGGGGGCAAGCGGGAGGCAGGGTGGGCGGTGGAGGCCCTGCGGAAGGTCCTGGAGCCGGCAGTGCAGCACAGCCAGCGGGCAGGACAGAAGGCACTTCCACTTCCTGAGCTAGCCTTCCAAGGGGAAAGGGGGAGAGCTCCCCGCAGAGGAGAATCCCTGCAGAGGAGAAGCGACAGTGTGGAGTTAGAGCAGCGGTCCTGGGGGCTGGGCCGCGGGGGCTGCAGCCCTCTGTGGTCCGCAGGGGGCAGCCTGCCGGCTCGCTGACAAAGGCACCTGAGAGTCTAGCCAGCTCCTAACCCACCAGCTCCGCAGCGCCTTTCGACAGGGCTTCCAAAGTGAGCAGTGCCCGAGAGCCAGGGACCACATACACTACGCAGCCTCACACAGATCCCCGTGGCGACTGCGCCCCCACTCGGCCTGGCCCTGTGGGGGTACGCTCAGGATTCACCCAGTGACTTGCCTCCCTCCCTGTCAAGGCTGCTCTGTAAGCTTGCAGAAGCGCCTCCCTGCCTAGAGCCAATTTTCAGTATAAAATATCCAAACAAGCTGGGTGTGGTGGTACAAAACTATAATCCCAGCCCTCCAGGAGGCTGAGGCAGGAGGATCACAAGGTCCAGCCCAGCGTGGGCACCTGAAGGACTTAGTGAGACCCCTGTCAGAATAAAAAAATAAAAGAGGGCTGGGGGTGTAGCTCAGGGCAAAGGCACTGAGCACAGTCCCCAGTACTGCGAAAACTAAAAATAAACAAGCCAATCCGCCGCTGCTGAGACTACGCTCCCCCAGTGTGCGCCACAGCTATACACGCACGCCCTCACTCACTCTCACACCGAGAGGCTAGCGCTACTCCAACACCCACCCTACGCTTGGGGCATGGCGCCGGGACACGGAGGTGTACCTGTCCAGATCCTGTGTGGACCAGAGCAGGGTTGGGGCCCCGACGCTCAGCAGTCCCGGCACCCGCTCCTCGGTTCTGGGCACTCAGGTGTGGCCAGTGACCTCCTCGGGTATCACATTAGGACCCGCTGCGTGAAGAGCACACAGCTTAGCCGCTTGGCAGGACAGAGCCTCCTGAAGCAAGGAGTCTTTATTTTTTCCCAAAAGAAAGGGAAAGAAGCAATAAACGGAGATTAGAAAGATGGTGTGAAAAGCCCTTAGAAGCTGTAGGAAAGGAGGTGCACTCCAAGCTTCCCATGGGCGGGAGCCCACAACTCAGGGTGGCCGCATACTCAGAGGCCAGTGCCCAAGGAGGCTTGTGCTAAGGGGGCCTGGCGGGACCGGCCTGATCAGCGCGCATGCGCTGCCGCAACCACACGCGGCCTTGGAGGTCCTGCAGACGAGGTTCCCTCCCCACAATTCTGGAGGCTGCAGCCCCGGTCCCAGGTGCTGCCTTCCGGCACGGCTCTCCTGGCCTGCAGATGGCTACTGTTACACTATGCACCCCATCACCTCGGTCCGTGTGTGCCTGGGAAGAGCAAGCCAATAGCTCGGGGGCTTTTCCTCTTCTCGGGGGACATCAGGCCTGTTGGATTAGGGCCCCAGCCTACACTCTGCCCAGGCCCTCCTGGCTCCCGTAGACCCTACCCCCATATACAGAAACTGAGGGTTAAGGCTGAAATGGATGGGTGGGGGAGGGCGACACACCGGATTCTGTCCAGAGCGCCACGTGAAATGTGTGCTGTCCTAACCTCCGACTCCTGGCAACCACACTGATGGAGTGGAGACCTCACACAGGCCAACAGGAGAGGGCAGGGGACAGGAAGGTGTGTCACGCACCCAGTGAGGACAGGCCATGCTGGGAGCTGGGGTCTAAAGCTCTTCCTGCCTACAACCTCCCCTCCCGAAAGTCCCGGCTTTAGGACAGCCAGAGACACGAGCCACCTCTCCAACAGCAGCAGGGCCACCGGGTGGAGGACTGGGGGGCCAGCACGACCCAGTGAGGGAGCGTGTCCAGGTCCGTGTGAGCGCAACAGCTGGCTGACTTAGGACGGCTTCCACGGACTGCCGACAAAGAGAGACGTCCTACTTCTGTCCCTGAAAAGGTGTTTCACCCTAACGCAGCCCGAGTCTGCACGCTGAGCTAGAGGCGCTGGGCCTGGCCGGAACGCGCCTCACGTGCTCCTCAGCAGCCGCGCCCCGTCCCTTGCAGCCCCAGGTGGCATCTGCATTGGTGACATGATGCTTGTTTGCACCACAGTCGCAGGTCAGCCTGGTGCTGCGGACGCGCTGGCAGTATAGGGGACAGCGTTTCTGACAAAGATGCTGGTCCTTGGCCGAACACTGCCAGATTCTGAGAGGTCCCTGTAAACTTAACAAATTTAATTTTTAAGGCACATTTAATCATCAGCTAAGAGCTCATGTTCTTAAACTAATACCGTGACAGGATAACACCTCCTTGCTTTAAAGACAAGTAAACTGAAAGCTGCAGACATTGATCCTGGGCCAGCAGCTGATGCCTGTGGCTCCCTGACGGGGTCTTTGGCAACCCAACCAGCGGTGTGGCTCCCTGCAGAAGGGGACTCTGTGGGATTCCAGGCATGTGCACAGGCAGGAGGCTGCTCCAGCCAGAGTGGGGCCGGCCAGCTCGCTGCACTGCTGTACTTCCAAATGACGCGGCCCTCTGCGCACCAGCCTGCTGCGCCATCTGCCTTTGCTGAGCACACGTGGGACACGAGGACACTCAGCCTGCCTCTGTGGCCCTCTCTGCTCACGGAGTGGCACTAGTGACCACTGTGGTGCATGGTCACCTCACTAGTGTAGACTGACGTGGTCAGTCGCAGGCAGACAGGGCGGAGCAACGGGAACCCGGTGAGAGGCTCACAGAGGGACAAGTGTACCAAGTTTTCATGGTGAAACCACAAGTTAACAATACCAAGCACAATCCTTACAGGGGCACTCAGGCCCCAAAGCGTGATGTCCTAATACGGCCCTGGAGCCCGAGGGATGGGGCTAAACTCAGGCGGTCAGAAGACACCACCCCCAGGGGCACAAATCAGTCATCAAGAAACAGGCGTGCCCAGCAGGACTGGCCCACAGCAGCTCGGGGCAGTGTCCACAGCAAGCCCTGCCACACCAGCCCCATCTGCCCCAAGCCACAGGGTCCATACCACCCTAGACAGGGAAAGCCAGGTTCAGTGTGCAGAAAGGTAGACCGGGGTGCCCAAGCTGCAGGATGGGCAGAAGCAGTGACAGGGACGGCATGGGTGAATCTGCCAGCAGCCCCCAGGGCTCAGGTGACCACAGCATGGCCCTTCTCAGGGAGAACCCTGCCACAGCCAGGTGCCCAGAGTCCATGTGGGGAGGCAGGGACTCAACACCAGCAAGTGGCAGGCAGGGGCAGGTTTCCACGTGGCTTTCCTATGGTCCCATCACTGTGGTGTCCCCGGGATGTGGCTTTCCCAATGCCGATGGCACTACTGGAGCTTGTGCCCACTGGCCGTCGCAGGGTGAGTGCCCCTGCTCCCGGCGAGCACGTGCACACACAGATGCGACACGGGAGCCCAGGGTAAAGGTTAGGAAGCCGCCCTGGCTCACACCGGGGCGGCAAGGAGCCCTCGGCAAGCAGGCGGCCAGGGTCTGCAAGGTTTTCCTTTTGACAATAATCTGAAATTCACAAAAAAGTTGCACTTGTAGCACAAAGAACTCTCCTACCCTCTTACGGATCCATCAACTCCGTTTCTTACATACCTATTTTATCATTCTCTTTATATATGCACTCTTTTTTCTAAAAAAAAGTAAACTGGGACAGGTATGGTAGCTGAGGCCTGCAATCCCAACACTGAGGAGGCTGAGGCAGGAGGATTGCTGTGAGTTTGAGGCCATCCTGGGATATATAGGTGAGTTCAAGGACAGCCTTCACTATATAGTGAGACCTGTTGTCAGAAAAAAAGAAAAGAAAAACCCAATAAAAATAAGATGGGGACATCTTACCCCTTCAGGCCTTCGCATTTAAGACTTCAGTGTGCATTGGTGAAAAAGAAGATTCTCTTACACAACACAAATTCAGGAGGTTCACACCGACCAGATGCTGTCGCCTGTCTGTGGCCCTATCCTGTGGCCCAGACCCTAATCCAGGACAGGGACAGCCTCCAGCTACCCAGCCCTCTGGTGTCCAGTTCGGGCTGCTCCTTGGTCCTTCCTTGACTCTTAGGACCTTGGTAGCTGACCAGGGACAGCAAGTTCCTAGGATTTTCCTCCACTTGGATTGGCCAGCAGTCCATCCACTTGCGGGACTCTATGGGACTCGTTCTGGATGCTGGGTTGTGGGACCCAGGATGAGGCAAGGTCAAGAGCTTTGTCCTGTGCAGGATGCTTCTGTCCCTGAGACAGGAAGCTCCATCACAGTCACTGAAGCTAAGCTCGCCCCACAGCACTGGAAGCAAGGGTGAGGCTGCCCGGGGGAAGGTGCAACCCTTTCCACCAAGGGGACCAAGTGGCATGACAGTGACGTGCACTAGCCGGGCCCAGCGCAGGCGTGGGCCTCAGGCACACAGCGCTCTGTACCTGGCTCCCTGCAGTCCTCAGGGAGAAGAGCTTCTCTAAAGGCTGGTGCTATCGGAGGACAGAGGCCTGCCCGGAAGTGGCCTTACCACAGACCCACGTGGGGTGCGGCACACCGCTGGAGGGCCAGCCTCCTCCCAAGCAGAACAGGAAGATTCTGTGTCACCAGGACACCACTGATACAGAAGTCTGAGCCCCGCCCACCAGCCCCGCTGCGCCAGCATCTCTGCCAGCAGGGCCCAGGCGCCGTCCACGCGATCCTCATGTGCACTCCGCTGTAAGAGGAACTGCTCCAACACCACATCATTCCGCAGTACTCGGCAAGGGATTTCTGTCCAGCTCGGGTAAAGAGCGCATTCTACTGAGGATAACCTCCCCACCCTCAAGGCTACGTGAGGCCTGGCCCCAGCCTCTGCTCAGTTCCAAGGAAGCAGCCGTAGGCGAAGCCTGCTAGGAAAGGCGTGCTGGCCGACTCCTTCCTATACCGGTGGCACCCCTGGAGCATGCAAGCCTCTGGACTGCGCATCCAGGCCTCTGGATTGCAGCCCCCAGCAAGGTGTAGGGGCCAAGCGAGGGTGGGGCCTGACCTAAAGCAGCCACCAGAGGGCAGGGGACAGAGACGCCACGCCTGCACGGCTGGGCAGCTTCTCCATTTCCTTACTGCAGAAGGGGACAGCCCCTGGTCCCCTCTCAGGATGGGCCGGGACTCCTGCCGCCAACCTTCCCTCCCGAAGGACTGGGGTGTGTTTTGTCACTGGGTCTGAGGTGATCCCACACAAGGATGTGCACTGGGAAGAGGGCAACACAGCAGAAGGGGTCTCCAGCCCTTCCAAGGCTGGGTGGGCTTCATACTCACCACACTGCAAAGACGGTTGCTCTCTGCTGTATTCTGCAAAAGGGAGAAACAAGAAAACCTCTTGGGATAAGACTGAAGCCATACAGTCATCACTGGCCCAGAGAAACATCTTTCTTATGGACACTGGGCCCTGGGCAGGTACCAGTGAGGACATGGGAAACCAGGAGGACAAAGACTCTACCCAGGCTCACCAAGGAAAAGAGGATGCTGGCACGGGCGGGGGGTGCAGGTCAGAGCTGACACTGTCTTACTTCACTGAGCACCTACTGCGTGCCAGGGCCCCCAAACCCTGCTTCTGTCTTGTATCGTTTGGGCCTCATGAAAAGCCCCAGTGCAAACACTGGCATTCTCCTCCTGCCCTTCCGTACTCCCTCTCTGCAGCTCTACCATGGAGCTAAGCACTGCCTGAGGCATGCAAAAAAGATGCACCTCAATCTTTTTTTTTTTTTTTTTTTTTGGCAGAACCGGCAATTGAATTCAGACCCTTGTGCTTGCCAGGGAAGCACTTATTCTACTGAGCCATCTAACCGACCCCTCAATCTTATTTCTTTTGACCCTGAAAACCTGGGCTTAGGTCCCTTGCTTAATGTCTTACAGCTCAAGCTCCAGGATTTGACTGCCTTGGACACCCAAATTCTTTTCTTTTTGTTTGTTTGTTTCTTTTTTTTTCAGAACCAGGGATTGAACTCAGGCCCTTGCACTTACTCCACTGAGCCATCTCCCCGGCCCCTTTTCTAAGTCTGTGTTCATCTGTCCTTAGCCCTGAAGGAACCCTGAGTGGCGGGGAAGCAGGGTGGACCTCAGAGCAGCAAATGTTTATTACTCAAGAGCAGCCAGGTACAGATGGCTCTGGGAACCCAGACACACAGGTCCTCTCTGGTAACTTAGCAACCCAAGGCTTCTTGCTGTAATTACTCCCAGCTCAGCCAGGCAAAGAGGCCTGCCCGCCCTCTAGGAAGCTGCGGCCATCCCCTGGCCCAGGGAGAGTGCACGCAGCACCAGTGGCGCTCACGACCACAGCTGCCCTGCTCTGTGCTGGGAAGACAAAGGCATCAGTACACAATAAAAAAGCTACCACTTTTCAGAACTAAGAGCCCTCAGAATTTTTTTTCCAACTAATTTAAGGACAAGATCTTGGGATCACAGGCAGCAGGATGAAAACGGTGGCCTGCAGGGCCCCTCTAGGCTGCTCGTTTCCCAGAAGCTACGCGGGGCGCGGGGCTTACAACCAAGCCTTCCAGCCCCACCCCCAGCGGCCACTCACCTAGCTGGTGGGGTAGCCATGCAAGCCTAGGGAGGCCTCGGCTCTGTGGCCTGCCTCTGCCACACACCTCACTCCCAATCTCACCCAGGGGACACAATCTCCTCCAGCGTCGCCGTTCACGCAAACCCAGGCACAGAAGGCACACATGCAACTGGGCTGTGGCACCAGAGGCTGCCTGGGTCACAGCCGGGTCCCAGAAGAGCAAAGGCCCCAGGCAGCAGAATTAAATGGTACGGGTGCTGGAGCTGGAGACACCCAAAGCTCTGGTTCTCTCAGCAGCAGCTACTACACCAGGTGATTCCTAACCCCTCCGAACTCTCACATCCCGGCCCGAGACCCAGACACAATTACCCTGACGTCACGGGAGGCTCCCGGTGTGTGGGTGCCAGCAGGCAGCACAAGCAAAGCACCGTGCTGACAGTAACCTTTATAACTGCATCTCTAGCTGTAATAATCACACGACAGCCGGCTACCCGCCTCTACTCTTTGCTGGGCAGAGTGCTAGCCATTTTAAAGGCTCAGTTCATTTTCTCCCCACCAGAAACCAAAGGTATCATTAACTAATTTCATCGTGAATCACACTTCTCTAAGGTATGCACAGGGCTATCAATAGCTCACTGCTATGAGGTGTGTGGGGGGGTGCTGCGACTCCAAACTCCAGAGGGACATCTCTGGATTTTTACATCTGTTTAATCCAATTTGAAAGGCAGGTCCTGGAAGACAGTAGCCCCCTGGTGACCAAAATGAGATGAACGCTGTCCTCCGGGAAGCAGACACAGAGTAATTTAATTATCTGGTTAGTCTGATGTTCACTAGAAGCTCTTGATTATTATAGCTATCCTCTAAAGCAAGGCTCAGGGCAAGAACCTGCCACCCAGAAGGCGGCTTAGGACAACAGTGGCACTGAGGCCACCAGCCCCTGGCGTGGTCACAGTGGATCAATCTCCCCCGGGGACGGGGATCTGGGCTCTTCCCTGGCTCTCTGCCTCCCGGGATGAGACTCCTCATCTGGAATGGGAAGGGATGAGCTGGGAGGTCGCCAAAGCCTTGCAGGCAGCGGAGGCCACGGGCTCCGGAAAGTCAGGCCAGGGCCCCAGCCCGGGCTCTGCGCGCCCCACGTGTGGCATGCACGACGGCTGCGAAGGCTTGCGCAGCACGATCCGTGGAGGTGTCGCATCCCCGTTTCACGGGAAAAGAAACTGAGGCTCAGAGAGGGGTGAGCGGCTCCAGGGCACGCAGGCGGGCCCACGCACCCGTCCGGGGACACCTGGGGACCGAGCCGGGCTCTCTGTGGGCCCGCGCGGGGTACCCCTTTAGCGAAGGTCCTCATTGGCTGGGGTTCCTCGCTCAGGCCGCCCGCCGCCGCCACGCAGCTGTCACTCGCTCGCTGGTGTCCGACCGCGCCCCCGAGCCGCCTGCCATCCTCTCCCGGCGCCGCCCCCCAGCGCGCGCTGCATCCGGAGCCCCTCACCTGGCGGCCCCGTAGCCACCGCCCCGAGCCCGGGAGGCCTCGGCAGCGAGCTTAGCCTGCCAAGTGTCAGGTCAGCCAGCCGCCGCAGACTTGCAGGTGCCGCCTGCGCCTGCCGGGGCAGCGCAGAGCCACGTGTACGCATGCGCAGACAGGGCCTTGCGCATGCGCAGACGGGGACTCTGAGCCGGCCTCGGCCCGCGCAGAGCCCGGGCGCACGGAATGCTGGGAGTTGTAGTCTACATCCCGGTCGCGGGAGTTGGTTAGTCCTGAGCAGTGTTTACTTGTTAGGATTAAACCCCGGTAATAAATTTAAATGCAAGTTCCGCCGATAAACCAAACACAATTTATATAGCCAAATGAGTAGCATGTGACCTGATTTTATTTATTTAATTATTAATAGCATGTATTTATAATGCAAAACGATTGTTCATCGTGGGGAGGTCATACATGTACATAACACATATTCATCCTTTTTACTTCTCCTTCCACTCTCCTCTTCCTCCTACAATCTCTTTCTTTCTACTTAATAAAGATCTTTTATTGTCTCATTAAAATATCACAGATTGGCCTTACAATCCAGAAGCTTGTTTCTGTGGCTGGATTGACTCTTGGATCTCACTCATTGGCCGCTGAACTATTCCCTTTTCAGAAACATAGACACCATCCAAACATTTTCTGAATCCTTGTTTTTGACTGTTGTGGCTAGCTGAATCAAAGCCGCTGAATTTGAACCAGGCTCAATGTCATTTCCTTCAAGGATTATCTCACCTTTCTGGGCCTGAGATCCTGAGCAAGCAACACCTGCCCTCATATGAACTCGGCGGACGTATTTTTCACCCAAGAAATTCCGAATTTCACCGAGAGACCCATTCTCCTGAATAACGCCGTTGATGGGGAAGTGAGCACACACAGACCTCGTCCCGTAGCGGAAACGCAGTGTGGCTCCGTGATCGTGTCATGCACATGGCCACAGAGCGTGGGGACAGTTGCCAACTCCTGTTTCCCCAGCACTCGTCAGCCTGGAGCCTGTTCTCTTTCTTCCCAAGGAGACTGAGTTCCACACTGGTGTGGTTGAAGTCCCTCCGCAGGGTCTCTCTGGGGCTCTTCACAATGACCATGTTCTTTCAGAGTGATGTCGACACTTCCTGGAATGTCCACAGTCTGATGTCAAGAATGCTTCATTCGTGCGGGAGACCTAGCATCTCTTGGTCCCCTTTCTTTTTGTTTTGTTTTCTAAGCCAGGGTTTTGCTATGCAGTTCAAGCTGGCCTTGAACTCACTTTGTAGCTCAGGCTGCCCTCGATCTCAAAGTGATCCTCCCCGCCTCAGCCTCCGGAATGCTGGGATTACAGGCTTGCACCACCAGACCTGGCTCCTTTTCCATGTGTAAAAACTCGATCTCCCTGTCTCCTATCAGCTGTCTTTTATTTTGATCTTTAATTTATGTATACTTTGAGTTTCTCATATTGGAGAAACCATGTAATATTTAAGCTCGTATATTTGATTTGTTTTGCTTCACAGTACAGTCTCAAGGCGTTACCCACTTCTCTAAAATGACTGAACTTCATCCTTTGTAGCAGCATAGTACTCTGTTGGGCATAAATACTACATCTTCTTTATCCATTCACCTACGGATGGGCATCAGCAGTTCATCCACTCACCTATGGATGGGCACCAACAAGTTTTTTTGTTTTTTAACAAGATGTAGCTATTATGAACCGCGCTGCTATAAACATCGGTGTTCTCGTAGTCATGCTGCTTCAAAAACACATAATGTTAGAGGGGTTCAAATGTGGGCACCCCAGCTAGCCGTCCAGCTGTGTGACCATTCCCCATTCTTGGGACCGTTGCTACTGGGATTTACTGCAGAGCCTCAGAACACATGTTTGCCTCCACTTGTTGATTCGTGGATTTTTGATCCCTTGATTTTTTGGCAGGACACAGGAGGATTTAAGCCATTAAGAGGTGTGCCCACCAGGTCTGCCCTCACCCCAGAGAGTTAGGAGATAGCACTTCTGCCTCTCACCTGGGGAAAGGCTGTCATTAACTTGTAATAATGTTAACTTGGTTGCCCAAGCATTGTGGCAGGAAGGCCTGCAGTGGGTGATTTCAGGGTTTCTTCTCTTTTTTTTCTGTTTTTCCCCCCCTTTTTCAGGCAGGGTTTTGTTATGCAGTTCAGGCTGCTCTTGACTTCATTTGTAGTCCACGCTGGTCTCAGACTTGCAGTGATCCTCCTGCCTCAGCCTCCCAAGTGCTGGGATTATAGATGTGCACCACCACGCACAGCTATTCAGTTTTGCAAACACTTCTCTGTGGACTTTGTGGTCCTCCTGGGAAAGCCAGCAGTGGTCTGGTGAGGAAGAGCAGCTTGCAGCAGGAGGGTCGTGTTCTGGCCAGCATCCTGGGCCTGGGCAGGACCCCTGGGGTGGAAGCACACTGAGCATGCTTCAGTTCATGCATCACTTGTGGTTTAGATCTGGAGAGTCTCCTCTGTGTGCAAGGTGACTGGATCCCGGGCGCTGTGCCCACCGTAGAGTCACCCACTGACTGTGCTGCAGGAGGCAGCCTGCACGCTGGGCTGTGATCCAGAAAGGCGCATTCTGGCCCCAGCTCCTCCCTGCTCTCCCCACTTCTGGCCACCAGGGGCTGAGCAGCTGTCCTGCCCCAGGCCTTCTCTCTCAGCCTAAACCATGAGCCCAAGCAAGCCTCTTCTTTCAAATGTGGGTGTGGGGCCTCTCGTCACAGTGCCAAGAGAGGGGCTAAAACAAAGTCCCCGTGTTTTAAGAACTGTTCTGGCTGCGGTGCATTCCGCAGGGCTTTACTTGCTGATCAGGAGCTTTAAAGGCCTGGATGGAAGGATCGCTTTCCTTTCTACTCATGTGGAAAGAGGGGGGAGTAGCTGGTTTTAGAGGTCTCCCTGGTACTTCCAGAAATCAGCACTTAGAGGCAGCAGCGTGGCGTTCTGTAGGCTGGGTCTCCTTCTGCACGCTGGGAGAGGCTCCTAAACCATACCCTGGCTCCGAGATCCTTGTTCCAATCTAAGTTGCTCATGGAGTTTCCATCCCTGGGTGGCTGGGCAGCCTCCCCAGATTTATGTGATGAACAGGACAGCCACAGTGGGGCTGGGCTGGGATTTAAATGTGTCTGCATTTAAAATAGTTTTACCCCCCTCCTTTCCAAAGGAGAGGCCTTGCTCCCACTCCCTCCAGGAGCCGACCCACTTAAGGACTCTCTTCTAATGATCTCAATACTTCCGAAGCTGGGTGGGAAATGATGCAGCGCCCCTTCCCAATGGCTTCAGCCGGCACCGGCACCGTGTTGCAGCAAAACCCTGTCCACATGGAAAAGGTGCGACAGAGTGTATTTGTTTGCTAGAGTTGTGCTAACGAGTACCACAGGCATGGCGGCTTACACAGCAGACACTTGCCTTTTTGCCTGTTCAAGATCCAGGAGTCCGTGGCCCTGGTATCTTCCGTGGCCTTGCTCTGTGGCCCCTAGGAGGCTGCCCTCAACGCATCCCCAAGGGGCTCTTTCGCGCGTGCGCACATTGCCATCTCCGCACCCTCTTGTCCTTGTAGGGACACCTGTCACTTGGATTAGGGAGGGACGCTAACGTGAGCCTGCAGCTATCACGGAAAGGCTCCACTCGAAGTCTGGTCACACTTGCGGGTGGCGGAAGTTACTTGTGAATTTTTTTTGGGAGGGACACAGTTCAGCCCACACCAAGCTGCCTGCAGCCCCTCCAGGTCCCGGCCACCAAGAGCCACCCAGGCCTCCGTGGGATCCAGCCCCTCCTCAAAGCTCCGCCACTGTCCCCGGTGTCAGAGGCAGAGACCGGCAGGGCCCATGTGTCTGTCTTGTGGTCTGACCCACAGAAACTGCGGGAAGGCGATCATTTGTGGCACTTTCCAGCCACTAAGCGTGAGAACACTGCGCGTAGCTTGGCCTGAGCGGAAGGCACCCTTCGGTCTCCACTCGCCCCCGCGCTGATCACGTCCACTGCTGTTCCGGACGGGGAAACCGAGGCTAGCAGCTCTCCACCACGCCGCCCACCACCCCAAGACAGCAAACGGAGCCCGGCAGGGGCCTGCGCACTCTCGGCCCGACCCTCGCTCCGCGCGGAGGTCGCCCGCCCGCCCGCCTGCCCGCCCCGCGTTGCCTCTACCTGCGAAGCACACAGGTGAGAAAGCGCCTCGGGCACCCCGCACTGCTCCTCCCGACGCCCAGGTGTCGGAAGACGGCTGCCTTGCAGCCGTGTGGTCTCCCGTCTCGCCCTGCCTCCCGTCCAGCACGCCCGCCCGGGAAGCCCTCCTCCGCCAGACTCCTCTGCTATGCCGTCCTGCCACGGAGCCGGGCACCTGTGGGCCGAAACTCGGGCCGCAGCAGGCCTTTCCTTCTCTAAGTTGTGGGTGCTGGGGTGCGTCCCCGCGAGGAGGTGAGTGACGGAGACGGCTGGGTGAAGGCATCCAGGTCTCACCTGCGCAGGGCCCTCCATCCAGAGCCCTGTTGTGCTCCTCTTGAGTGGGGGCGATGTGAGAGCTGGTGCCAGGAGGCTCCATCGGGGAGGGAGAAGTGAGCTGGGAAGGGAGGGGAGGGATGAGGGGGGAG